GGGGTGTGGGAAGCCCCGGGGGGGGGGGGGGCCGGGGGGCTGGGGGGGGGGGGGGGGGGGTGCGTGGGTGTGCGGGTGGCAGCGCGTGGAACACCCCGCCGACCGCGGGGGCAGCGGGTGGGCTGAGGCGTCGCCTGGGGTTAGTTCTTTTTGAAAGCTCTTTCCCCGTTGAACGAGAGGCAGCCTAGTCTGTGCACAGTGAGGTAACTCGGTTTGATGCTGAAAATGCAGAAGTTCGACTTCCTTTCAAGCCACGGGTCTTGTGAGCTGACAAAAGAAAAACTCAGTGAGCATTGCACTTCTGTGCTCTGCAGCACCCGACAGGCAGTGTTTCAGCAAAGGAGGACGTGCTTTTTTGCCATGCTTTCCCTAGGAGTGAGGCGATTGCCCAGAAACAAGATCGGTATGCTTTCACTTGACTGCTGTGCTGCAGTAGGAAGGCTCTAGGTGAACAGCTGGGGGGGTGCAAGCAGATTTATTTGACACTGCCTCCAGTGCTGATCAGATTAGATGGTACTCCAAACCTCTCTTTCTAAGAAACACAAATGTTTTTGTCACATGCTATCTCTTTTACAGTCCAGACAGAGTTCTTTGCCAAAGGGGTGCTTCATATACTCCTGATGATTTAGACCTCAGTGTTAGTAATCTTGCACTTCAGTATTCAATTGTTCTCATCTCATTAGCTGAATTTAAATGTGCACAATTCCCTGATGCACCTTAATGCGTGGGGTGCTTCCAGCTGCATGCCTCTGTCCATCTGGCTGCAAGTTGTGTCAGTTAATGCTTGCATGTGCTTGGCAGAGCAAATCATCTTGTTCTTTGTTTTCTTTCTTCAAAGCCTGAAGAGGACCAAAAGCTGATTTATTCTGGGAAGCTGCTGCTTGATGATCATTACCTGAGAGAGTTGCTGCCAAAGGTATAAAAAAATCTTTCATGCTGTGCTGAAATACATAAAGAAAAGTGATATTTTTTTGTAATATGTCTTCTGTTATATTTTAGCATGTGGAGTTGCATGCTCTTCATCTGGTATACAACTTCAAGACTCCTGTGAATGTGCAAGAAACCAATGCAGAGGTACTCATACTAAGTTACCTTACTATCTTGGGGTTGTGACTAAAAATGGGAAGTATTGAATGGCTATTCTAAAGTTCACTGATACTGCAGCTTTTTCCTATTTGTGCAATGGCAGTATTACTTTGTGATAATTTGCTTAGGAATGTGAGAACATATTTGGATTAAGCTGAGTGGAAAAAATGATTCTATGGTTCATTGGTAAAGATTCCTATGGTATATATTATGAAATATCAAAACCATAATCTAGTTGTAATACACTGCTCGGAGGCGATACACTTCCTGGTAAATTCAGTTTTATTAAATAGAATATGACATGTCGTGTCCCAGCCTCTTCTGGGCAGAGGCTGTGCTTTTGCGCAGAAGACAGCAGTTAGAGTGGAAGCGGTTCTGGTCTTTAATTGGGGTGTGGGGAAGGAAGAAGGCTGTTAGCTGAAGATGTTTTAACTGTGCTCATTAATGACTCAGCCTGTAAGAAGAAGCCAAAGATGAGCCTTAATGCTCGAAGAGAGTATGTACTGGTCTTCAGTGCAAATGGCCAAAAACAATTCTTAATTTCAAGTGGATATGCTAATATGACTGGAGGTGTGTTTATATTGCCCATTGTAGGCAATCTGAGCTTACCCTGACCGTGTCTGGTGTTTGATAGATGTGAGCCAGCTTTGGTCTGGGTGTTACACTGATGTATGGCCACAGAACAGCTCTTGAATTGTGTGCAGCAGTTTGTGTATGCAAGTACAAACTCTTCATAGCTAAGAAGTCAGACTGTCTTGAGTGCAGTTCCCTCGTTCTTCCAATTGCATTTTATAACCAGATGGGACCTGACTGTATGTGTAAAAAAAAAAGTGTAAATCTGGTGGAAGTGAAGAGTAATATCAAGTCATTTTTACATGCCAGTCACTTCTTAAGGAGCTTTAAAATACTGATTGAGGTGCTTGTGGCATGGTGCCCAAGAGCAGTGTCAGGACTGTGGCAGTGCCTAAAGGTACTGTGCAGGACAAAGTGCATGAACTGTGCAGCAGTTATGAAATAAGAGCCTGTTCAGTGTGGTGTGACCTTTTTGCATAAGGCGTGTGTAGTATCCTGAGTAAACCTCACTAACTGCATTGCTGTCCCTAGGTTAAAGCTGATCAGCCAAAGTTACCGTCAGAAGCTAGTCAGGAACCATCTGTAGCTTCCTCAAATGGTGAAAGACCAAGATGTTCTTCTAGTGGCCAGTCTTCAGCAGAAGCTAGTAACAGGTAAATACAATTTTTACATACCCCACTAAGATTTCTAAAATGTTAGCTTTGTGTTGGATGCCAGCCCCTTATGCTGCACATGCTATCTTAAGTCTGTAGAATGTGGGCCAAAGATGAGGATATATATAAAAAGCTTTAGGGGATGTGAAAGAAGCTAAAGGAAAATGCACTGCTATGTTAGTTGGAAATCTTCCCTTTATTCATGTGGGTAAAGAGATGTCTTTAATACTATAGAAGGAAGGATTAATTTTGCATTTGGATGCACAAAATGGCAGAAGCTATTTACTTTGTCCTGTAAGAAATGATGCCTGCAGCTTGTCCAGTGTTTGCTAATGAATGTGTTCAAATTTTCACCAAGGCTTGAAACAACTCGGTGTCCTTTCCAAGGTGTGGCTCCTGGCTTCTCTGCTTATACAACCTACAGCATGCTTCAGATGTCCTGGTTTCAGCAGATTTATGCAAGACAATATTACATGCAATAGTAAGTTTTCTGTCCAAAGCTACCAGTAGAAAGTAGAAACTGTAATACAAGGAAATTGGAAGTTTCTGGCAGTTCTTCCTTTTCTGATGCAGTGTGATTCGGAAGACTTCTTTTTTTGTTGTGACTTATGCTGGTGTGGGAATGTACCTCTAACTGTCATGTGGTGCTTGGTTTACTGTTCAGGGCTTTTGAATCTTGTGAACTGCAGATCTGACTCTTGTGATTGGGAGGGCAGGTGTCTGTAGAGTAAATGTAATCCTGCTGATGAGCCTTAGCTCTTCACCATTTTTTTGACTGCTTGAAGTAGCACACACAGCACTGGCTGGAAATCAGTGACAAAGGTAAAGCTGAGACTTGCAGCAGCTGTCTAGACTACTGTTAGATTGCTCTGAAGAATTTTTTGCCAAGTATTGAAATTATTGTTCATGAAATGGAAGGTGCCTGGTTTGACTTGCTGAAGTCGCTATGCAACTGTTGTCATCGGTAGAATTAAAACTTGTTTTTAACCCTTCTGTAGCCTCTAAACTTGGTGCTTTCTACTTGCATGTGATGAGACTATACTTAAAGATGGACAAATTTTCAGTGCCTATGTTAAGTGTGAAAGGATTTGACTAAGCCTTATTCTGTATTCTGTGTTCTCTGGTTTCAGCTTGGCTTCTACTGCTGCATCTGCTGACCCATCCCATACACAGCGTCCTCAGGAGATACCGGTGGCACCAGTGACACCCCCAGCTCCTCTCCCAGACCCATTCCCTGCACAAAATCAGCCTGTAAACCAGAATGCTGCTGCCCAGGTTAATGCAGTGGCCAACCAGAACTTGCGGATGAATGCCCAAGGGGGTCCCCTCATGGAGGAAGAGGAGGAGGGTGGCAATCGAGATTGGTTGGACTGGCTCTACTCAGCAACACTGTTCTATGTTTTTGTCAACATTATCTATTTCTACTCCAGTGTCAGCAGGTTCCTCCTGGTTATGAGTGGCACTGTTCTGATGTATCTGTAAGTGTATGTTATTAATATTTGCTATTGTAGTCAGAAATGTTTCACTGAAGTAGTGAGTTCTGTACTGTGGTCAGCTTTCTGGTAGTTGAGCTTCATATGACTCTTGTACCTGGAAAGGGTGACCCACTTCTCTATCCTGGTATAACTCAGGGTTTAGCAAAAATAGAAGTGCTGCCCATCCCTTGATGAAATGAATAAGTGATAGTGCGTGATTTTACCTGGCTTTTGTACTAATGCTTCTGGTGTGGCTGGCTTTCTTTTTAGAAAACTACTTGAAACTTCAGTAGCTCTCAGTGTAAAGCCCCAGCAGCTCGGTGGTGTTGAGCAGATGTGTAGGTTCAGTGTAGTAAATGAGTTGCTTGTAGGGGAATCAAGTGTTTGAAGTCTATTGGGAAGAGGCTCTCACACCTGTTACCGAAGTCATGTACCTGTGCAGGTTTTCCTGCTGTGTGTTGCCTCTCTGGAGAGCAGACAAAGCTAAACTGAATGTGGTGTCCTGAATTGCCTTTGAGCCTCTCTAGTGGAGGAAACTGGGATAAATCTCTTGGAAGCACAATAAAGATAATGGGCTGTCAGTTGACATGCTTGGGATGTCTTGTCTGAGAAAGATCATCTGTCCCCTCAAATTCTTTGATCACCAGTGAAACAAGTGATGTAGGCCTCTGAATTCCTGTTGGTGGGTCTAAGAGTTGAAACTGGAGCAGCTCAAATAATCAGCTCTTCCAATTTCTATGCATCCTTGGAGAGTGAAGGTTAATTGCTTCATTAAAAGTCCTTAAATTTTATTATTGATAATTCTGAAGTGTAACTTTGAATAGCTTATTGTGGGCTACAAGGTGCAGGTGCTGTAAAGATACAGACCTTCTAAGAAGGTCTATATGTCCTGTCATGTTTTGGCAAGAGTTCTGTTTCATGTGTCCTTTGTGCCATTTTCTAGGGTGAGTACAGAGTTACTGGGGTGCACACAACATGGTGAACAAGCAAGCTCTTTGTACCTCTAGCAGCATGCTCCAGCATACAAACCAGATACAAACCTGGATGTAGTGCTGCTTATTTTGAATGTGAGCAGATGCTCGGTCTTCCCCTCCTACCTCAGGGTTGGCTGCTGAGAGGAGGCTTTGAATGCTTTCAAAGTATTGTAAAACTTGTCCTGTACTTGTACTGGGTCAGGGCAGAAAGAGACCTTAAGGTGCTGAACTTGCTGTCTGCAGCTCTGACCACTCAGCTGTTACTTGAACTGTGTTGGTGTAACAGGAAGGAGTAATATTTAACCAGTATTAATACAAATCTATTGGCTTCCCCAGGCATCATGTTGGATGGCTTCCATTTAGACGAAGACCAGTTCAGCCCTTCCCAGGCAATGTTCCTCCTCAAGCTGCTGTAAACCAGGACCAGAACAATAACTTGCAGGTATTGTCTTGGTATTTTTTTAAACCATGAGCATGAAACCCTGTGAAGTTTTACTTTCAGTTTACTAATTACATGTAGTAGCAAAATTTTCTTCCTAAACTTTTGTCAGAAATTATCTTCCGTGGTGGAATAATTGCCAGCCTGAGTCCTCCTTTGGTGTAGCTAATTCCTCTGTTCTATAAAATTTCAGGCTGAATGTTATCTTTTAGTTGCGTCTGTCCTTTAGGATGTTGTAATGGAGAGAGGGGTCTGTCATGAGCTGAGCAGGTTCTGTAACTGAAGACAAGGTTTAGACTAGTACCTCAGGATTTGAGTATGTAATCAACCTGAGTCTTGCATTCCAAGCTGACACCTCTGGCTGATGTCAGTGAAAGTTAATTAGTTGTAAATGCATACATAGTTCATCTGATCTGGTGCTTCATGTCTGTCTTGGTGTTCTTGGACACATGGCATGAGTTAACCAGTAATACTAGTGTGCGGCTTGGTGTTTTTTGACTTTGTGGTTGTCTAGGGATACTTGCAAGCTTTTTATATTTTGACAGTGACATTTGGGTAACAAATATGCTGTTTGACACCTGATTCTTCTCATTTCTGCAATGCTTTCATTTACCAAATGTCCTTTATTTTGGCAGGGGGGAAATGCAGGCAGAGCAGATGAACCCGAGGCATCTCCTGATGAGGGACAAGTTTTACAAGAACTGCAGCAGGCCAACCCTTCATTTATGAGCACAGCATGGGTCTTTTTCAAGACTTTCTTTGCATCTCTCCTTCCAGAAGGGCCCGGAGTGACCCGCAACTGACTTGTCACCAGTCTACTTGTCTGAAACTGCGATGGGATTTAGTCTACCTGATCAAATTGGATACCAACTCCAAACTAGGACTGAAAGTGGATGGCACTTCTCTGGCTTTCACTGGCCAAGCAAACAAAGCTGCAAGAAGCCTTAAGTCATTACAGCCTAGAGACTAAGATGCTTGCCCTTGCTGCAAAGAACTTTGTTCTGTAGCATTTATTAGGTACCTATGTAGAGGCTTGGCGTTGTAAACTTGTGCACTAAATGTGCAGGCTCTAAGCAGGTGTGCAAAAATGTAAGAGAAGCGAATTGCTTCTTCTGTGTAATGTGATTCCTGTTGGAATGTTTCAAATGCTATTTAAATTACACTGAGTGTAGGATCTCAAATTGCTAGATATGCATTAGCAGACTTTTAGGGAAGATCTATTGTTAAATTGCTTCAACAATAGTTTAAATTTTCTGTGTACATATTTTCCTATGAAGGAGGTATGGTGCAATTTCCTTGTTGACAAAGTGGAGGACTGTAAGACAGTGACCTCTTGATAAGCAATCACCTCACTGGAGTTGAAGGCTAAATTTCATGTTGCCAAATTCAATACTTTAAACTGAAGGCTTCATTTTCCCCCTGCCAAATCACGGGAGAAGAGTTAGTGTGTTAAGCTCTATCTAGCAAGAATTTATGCAAGATGTAAGCTTCTTCACTGCTTTTGGATGCAAAGTTAAAGCAGTCTAATGCCTGTATTCAACTTTGATGCATTCTCAGTCCAGAGCAACTCTCCTGTATTCCTTCATTGTGTTCCCTTTAATTTCTGATATGGTTAAGGGCTTTGACTCCAATAAAATTTGCAGGCATTTATATCCTACTTGTAAACACTGTATACACTGTACAGCAATTGGAAGACTACCTGTGCAAAGCACAGGATGTGGTCTCAGCTTGTTTTTAATGAAAAATCATGATAAATGAGTTGGGATATGAGGGGGAAAAGATGCTTGCAGAGCCTTAAAATCGGTTCCTTACTAACTGTATTCTTCAGCAACCTTTAGCATTGTATGGAATCATAGAATGGTTTGGGTTAGAAGGGACTTTAAAGATCACCTGGTTCTACCCCCCTGCCATGAGCAGAGACACCCTGGGGAGCTTGTAGCTTGTGTTAGCTCACTGAACGCTGCTGGCACAAAGGCTGTGGGCATCTTGAAGCAGGTAATTCTGCAGGTATTTGGAAAGCTTGGAGTTTGACCCCTTGAGCCCAGCGTGTGACTCCTGGTGACTTTGCCACCATTATTGGGCTGTTATCTTGGCTCAGGGATTTAACTTGGCTTGAATGTGCTGTGTGTAGGGAGAGCAACCACTCATGGAACTTGCAATGCTTTTCCTTGATGCTACCTGCTGTTGGCAGCCTGTTTGTGTAGGAGTGTCTTGTCTGCTCACATGCATGAGTTGGTACAAGCAGTTGTAACTGCTTAAGCAGTAATGCTTGATCTTGCTGCTTCAGATCTGATGTTAGATGTGGTTTGTTGGTGTTATGTGCAGTAGCGAGTTTAATCTTGGTGATGATATTTCCTTTCCAGGCATCTTACCAAGTAGTTTTTCTGCCACATCTTCGATTTGCTGGAGAATTGGGGAGGATGGGTAGGACAAAGTGGTAAAATTTGGCAATCAAGTCTTTAAATACTTGAATGAAGTAATTTGAGTAGGAGGTGAGTTTTGTTACTTTGGGTATATTCTGCATAAGCATTTGAGGATGGTCTTGGAGGTAGTGTCCCCTCTTTCTTGTCCCATTAGTGGTAAATCTACCTGTGCTCAGCACTGCATTTTGTGGATGATGGATTTTTTCTTCAGAGTCTATCCAATTGTCACTCAGGTGTCTTGGCGGTGTGCCTGAAACAAGTGAGATGTGCCTGGTCTTGGGAGGAGAGGGTATTTATTTCTTGGCAGCCAGAAATAAACTGTTTTGGTACTTGTTTAGGCAACAAGCACCAAGTGCTGGATTACTTACAAAACCTTTAATCTGAAGTTACCAGAGACAGCAGAACATCTGTTGTTGTCTTGAGGTTTCTGCTACTCCCACAAGCAGGCAGATTGGTTTAAAATTAGCTGGAAAACTAATTAAGCATAGCTAATGTCACTGGAGGGCTGTAGTGAGGCTCCTGGGCTGTAAGAGAATGTTTCCTTAATGGCTTAGTGAAATGTGTACCTCTGCCATCGGGGTGGAGGGAAGCTGTGACTACAGCAGAGGACACTGGGCAAATAACATGAAAGCAAACACCGTGTAATGCTGCAGAGACAGCCACTGGTGCTGTGCCAGGGCGGGAGCACCAGGAAGCTAGAGAGCGGTGCTTGGCGGAGGATGTGAGCACCAGTGACTCTGGCTGAGGCAGAGCTGGTGTTATGTGGAGCTGGGAGTGTGGCATGGCCCTTGCTCCTGTTACAGTCCCTAACCAGCGAGAGCCTCAGCTGCTGCGGTAGCACCAGCACTGCTCTGGGTGCGATGGCCAGGCGAGACAGCCTGTGTGCCAGCTGTGGGTGAGACAGCATGGACCTTGATTTAGTTGAGGGAACTCGGGTTAGACAGGAAAAAATGAGCCTTGAAACTTCCAGAGCAGTGCTGCTGAAAGAATGAGCCTTGAAACTTCCAGAGCAAGGCTGCTGAAAGAGTGTAGGAATCTCGGAGATTTTCTGGGAATAACATGACCCTGTGCTGGGACCGAAGTGCAGAAGTTGTAGAGAACAGAAAGGGCCTTGAGGCTATGGGTTTAGGAAGCTGGGTTTGTCCTGGCTCATGCTTCAAGCTGTGTGATTCTGCTGCTAGTTTAAATCCTTGTCATGCTTGTGAGCACACTGCATGCAAATGTACTAGTGTAGCATGGCTGCAGCTACTCTGTTCAGCTGTGGGTGTGCTGTGCAGGGCTTCCCTGAAAGCAGGTGGGTTGTGCAGGTGGTGATGGTCCACAGGGTGGCAAAGTGAGCAGCAGAGTAAAAGCAGCTTCTCTGGTGCTTTTGTCTTCTGATATCCTCTGGCAGCTTCCCCCAGTTGAGAGCAGGTCTCTGTCCTTGCTGGAAAACAAGTTGAGGGAGGAATGTTCTGGCTGCCTTGGGCATTTCTCTTCTCACTGCAGAAACTTCTAACAGGGTGCTTATTTGATGAGTCATTGAAGCCCTGTTTGTCACCAAGGGTATGCTCCTGTCCTCAGCTCATGGAATGTAAATCTCATGAGAATGAGGTTGCTGCTGAGTGGATCAGCTGTGGGGGGGGGGTGTGTGTGTGCTGACTTCCCCTTTTCTCCAAAGAGCTGTTTCACTTGTGCACATGCTTGTTACCTCTGTCCTCAGCAGCCATGGACATCCCAATGCCTGTGCACTTGCCCAGCGAACTGTTTTAATGTCCCTCTGGTCTCTGCTCTGTGATCCATTTCTAGCTGTTTGAGGCTGGTGGGATTTGCAGAGCTGTGCATCCAAAGGGTCTCTCTGTGGAGACAAGTCAGGCCAGCTGGAGGCCATCCCAGGGCTATTCCCCTATTGTGATACCCAACATGACAACTGCATTTCATTGCCTCATGCCAGCCCCTCTGCTTCTTAAGAACAGCTCTTGAAATATCTGCTAGGAATTAATGTCTGAATATCAAATGCAATGATATCATGGAGGTAAAACCAGGCCTGGTGTGCAGCCAGGGTCACAAACCTGTGGTGAAGGGCTTGAGGCTCAGCTGCCTGCCAAGGAAGGCTGGGAAAATGTTGCTTCTAGGCTCACTGGCCTGTTGCTGCAGAGGAACCACCTAGGATTTCTTACATTGGCACTGAAAGTTGTATTTGCTGCTCTTTCAGCCTGGTTTTGGCAGTGCAGAATCAGTGCTGCAGAAACACAGCTGGTTGCTCTTCCAGGCTTCAACCCAGCTGCCCTGGGCAGCCTCAGCTGTGAAAAGCCTGGCCTGACCTAGGGCCACCTGTGTGTGCCAGCTTATTTTTTGGTTTTTGGAGGTTATGGGTGATAGTGGTAGGGAAGAGAAGAAACTGGGTTTTAGGAGAATTTAATGGAAAAAAACACGTGCAACTTCATTGTTCAAAAACCCTCATGGGTGGTTTATCCTACCACATCTGTTAAAATCTCAGTTCACAAACTCCAGTTTGTGAATTCATTTGCTGCCTAACATCCAAGCCTGTCATGGTCACAAGTTTTAAGTGTAAGAAATAACCTCTCTTCAAGGCTGAGTCTTTTTTCAACCCAAGATCCCTGCTGCTGGGGCTTGACAGCACAGCCCTGGGCAAGGCATACTGTTGCAGTCTCCAAGGGCTGGCATTGGATATGTGGGATTGACTGGCGCCTTGTGCTGCTGAGCGCTGGACCTGTGCGAGATGGGAGCAGCTGGGTTTGGGCTTGCCCTCCTGCCATCCGAGGGCTGAGCTGCTCCGAGCCCTGGAGGGGGTGCTGGAGCCCATCCTGCTGATGGAGCAGAGTGTGGCCAGGCTACCTGGCAGGCTATCTCAGGAAGCAGCTGCAGGGTAACACAATGTTTGGGTCAATGCAGCACAAAGATTAATGGCACTGACATACCTCTGCTCTTGATAGTGTGGGGGGAAAAACAGCTCTGGTTATAGAACAGTCCCCAGCAAGTTGGTGAGCACATGTCTGCAGCATGGCCTTCAGATAAAGCCTTACACAGCAAATATGCATCAAAACATCTTCCAGCTTCCCATTTGCAAGCACTACAGAGCAGCTTGGGAATTTAACATTTCTTTGGGTTTTAAAGCCTGCTCTGCCTCCTGCTAGCTCAATTTAACCTTTCTGTGGGTTTTTAAATCTGACCTGCCTCCTGCTAGCCTGACCTTGAACTGGGAGGAGGGTGGTCTGCTGTGTCCCTGCTGCCCTGGCCTCTGCCTGGTTACTCCAGGGCAGGGATGCTCGCAGCACCTCCACATTCCATGTGCTTTTGCTATTGTAGGCGGAAAGTCTCCAGCCTTCCTGTTCTTGCTGGAGGTCAATGCCCGGCAATTCCCTGTCCTCCCTTGCTCT